GAGAGAGAGAGAGAGAGTGTTGGATTAATGAATGATCCTGATTAGAAACTCTCCATTCATTGTGCAACTAAAAGATTATGCACATTCCTTCTAAGCTTTCCCTTCTCAATTTTGGTTTTGTGGAGACCTGAAGACAGAATAATGCTGTGTGAATGCAGAAGCCGGTATCTCTTGAATATCCCTCACATTGAGGAATATACCATATTAAAACAGATTGCCTACTCACAATGGTTCTACGATCTCCTCTCAAAAGAGGGTGAGTAAGCTAGATATTATGAGAGGTAATCAAAAGTGTGTCCAGATGTGAAACCTGCTGGTGGGATTCTAAAAGGCAGCATGTACTATAGAAGAGTTGGTGATGTGAAGTGCTGCCCAGGGCTCTGATGGTTGGCCCAGAGTTCAGTAGAGCCCCATGAAATCAGGGACATGGGTGGGGGAGACTTGCTCCCTTCCCTAGCTAGGTGACAGGTAATACACCTGTGCAGAGTTTAGTCTTATGGTTTGCCATTGAATTAATTCTTCCTTGGTGGTACGAGCTGAAAAATGTGATTTCCCTAGGGCAATAGACGTTTTTCTCATAGGTATAGTAAAATGACAGTTATCCTGTATCTCAATAACAACAAAAAACATACCTGGTGGAAATTCCTTGTGAAAATGGTCTTTAGGTTTTTCTAAAAGTAACTTGTCATCTGTGTCATTTGTCTAAGCAGCTACAGAGGTCAGGCTGGAAAAGTAGGGGTGGCAACATTGGAGGGGCTGGGTGGTGGTGGCCATTTTTACTTTCCCTTAGACCTTGGTGAGTTGAGCCCATCCATCTCCTACTTGAGGAAAAACGTTGACATAAAAGTGGCCAGATTTGCACCCTCAGAAGCTTCCAAGTGGTACAAGTGGCCATTTAAGTACTGTTCTAGACCTCCTTGGTCTAGTTGTTACCTATAAACGGCCTTGTGAGGGACATGATTGATCAGCATTGGGTGAGGGACAGTGGGCACATGCAGTCTGCCAACAACATTTTGCCTGCCATGCTGAAGGAATATACTAATTGTCATGCTTTTCCTGCTTCAGGGCAGGAACAAAAGGCCAACGTTCTAAATGTATTGGTCACCTTCATTTCCACTTATCTTCACCCATAGTCCGTTCCTTGCTTAAATGTCAGCTTTCCCAATAGCTGTGTGTACTATTGAACAATCAGGGTTTTTTTTTATTTTTCTTGTTTTAATGGTACAGAGTAGATTGTGTTCTGCTAGACCAGAGCCTGGAGCCAAACTTGTGCCAGGATAGGTGCCAGGGTTCTGCTGAAGAAAGCTAATTTCTCCCTATGGGAATGTACAGAGGCAAAGCACAACCTACTCATATCATACCTATAGCCAAAAGGTCCAAGGCATTTTGTTGAGACTCTACAGGTACCACAGCACTCTATTAAAATCTGTGTTCCCTCTTTACAGGTACTATAAAGGCAATTTCATATTAAATGAAGGCACTTATGGAGTTCTTCTTCCACTAGAGGAAGGACTCACCTATGTGGATATTGTTTTATATTGCTGAAATAATATTTTTGAGATTAAGTTTACATTTACTTTTACTTTTCTGTATATAAATACACTCTGTGTTACCATTGCTGGAGTCACCCCTTCTATGGTATGCAGACAAAATTTGCCTGATATTATAAAGCTGTGATATATTGTAGTCTTCCCCCACCCCCAATTCTTGTGTACATGTTTATGACTATGACAATTATGTTTTGTTTCCATTCGGGTTTTTTTTTAATAAGTTGAAATAATGTTGCTTTGGTGCAACAAAGCCTAAAGCCTATGAATGGATTTTTATGTTTATGAAAATGAACAAACCAGTGAAGGAATTCACATATGTATATGATATATGTAAATGTAAAAATAAAAAAAAATTAGAAAAGAAATAAACCAAATGTATTTCATCTGCCAGAATTGATGGCCTTTATTTGAGGTTGCTCTTCAGTTCCGTCCCCAAAGATCAGTACAATTGTCAAACCGCTTTCAGTTTCTTTGACTATTCTCAGATGGGGAGTCATGTGTGAAGATACAGCACAAACCTGTTTCCAGACACTGAAAATAAAGTCACCATTCAATTTAGGAAGCAATTAACACCTCCACCTATAGTCCAGGTTTTAACTGATCGGTTATCCTGGCCACTACCTGTTGTTTGTGGGAAGTATTATATATTTAGTATCAAGTGTACGAGCCCACTGAATGAAGATAGTTGAATTTTAAAATCCATATCAGGATGACACCTCAATAATAATCATGTGCTGTCAAGTCAATTCTGACTTATGGAGCCCCTTTCAAGGTTTTCCAGGTAGGGAATACTCATAAGTGGTTTACTATTCTCATATTCTGGGGGTGCACTGGGACTATAACCACCCCAAAATTAATAATACAATTATTTTGAGAACATTTGGTGTCTTGTTCATCGGGCCAGATGTTA